ACTGTAGTGCAGGATAGCAAATGTTTTTCAACTGAAATGTGGCATAGTTCTGGAAAGGAGTATTAATATAAAAAAATTTCCTAAATAGTTTCTGTTTCACAACATTTGATAGGATGACTCTTGACTAAATCCTTTGAGCCTTTATACATTTAGGGATAGACCTTGCAAAGCTTTAGTAGGAATGAGATTATTGGTCAAGAAATTAATCCCCTTATGTCCTAATTTTAGTCCTAGAAACAATAAATAACCTGGACTGGTTTATTTGGACTAGACACCTGGATAAGTGGCATTGTGATGGATTTAGGAATTCCCTTTTTATTCTGCTAGGTACACCTGTGTATGTGTGTTTATGTATCAAAACCTATCACAACAGACAAGAGCAGGCTTTAGTACAAAGAATATTTCTAATTTTTAAAAAAAGGGAGTCGGGCAGGTATTACTGCTGTTTGGAGGAGTTAAGATAGTGTACAGAATACCAATTCTGTACACCAGAAGCCTATTAAATGCTTAAAGCTCTTTGATATGTTGACCCTCAACATTCACTTAAAGCACTACTGGCATAGAACACTGAAAAAAAAAAAGTCTCATATTTCTCAGTTCACTGCACTGCAGCATGGGACATAAATGAGTGAGTTTCTCTTATATCAGCTTTGTAGTAATTGGATTCAGGATAAGTTCAGAAGACACGGTAACCATTACAGCAACAATATGTACTGTGTCATTCACAAGCAAGTTCCTAACTCAAAACAATTTCATGTCACACATGTTATGACTCACTATGCATAAATCCCTCCTAATTAACCAAAATAAGAAAAAAAAACACAACTTAAAAAATTAGTGTTGTTTTATTTGCTACTGAGTGTTGATTTTATTTGCCAAATAGCTTGAAATTAGATAGTCATTTCTAAATCTCAAATGCCAATTTTGATTGGTTTATATGACCCTTTACTAATTTTTTACATCTTATGTGAAATGAAATATTTCAGTCTAACATGGAGGGTAGATACTCTGGTGATCCTCTGCCACTTCTGATGGTAGGATCTGCAGAAAACAATTTACATGCTTAGTTGTGTTAGAATGAGAAAATTGGATTTCTGAGTCAACAAGCAGAGTATCAGAGTCGCTCATCTTTCTTCTAGTCTAATAGGATTTCCAGTATGGCCTAACTCCTGAAAATCTTGATGCCTTAGTTATGTATGTGATAAATTGGATTTTTAAAGGCATTAAGATGTACTGTAATAAGAAAATACTTTTGTCAATGTGGCTCACGGTGTTCAAGAATGAACATTAAACAAAGGAAGTAAAACCTGGCAACACTAATAATAGGAATTTTAACAATGGAAATGGACCTAGCAAATGGAAAAGCATGTAATCTATCACTCCAAATACTGCCACTGTTCTTCTACTCCCTTTTACTAAACCCCAAGTATGATTTGAAAGAAGATCAAACCATTGGAATTAGACTATCTTTAAGGTCCCTTCCAACTCAAACCATTCTATCATTCAGTGAAATATTATTTACTAGCACTATGAGCCTTTGCACTTTACATAGTTCTTTTTCACCTCTACTATTTACTAGAAGAGAACATTTATCTTAGTTATAGCTAGAAAAAGTTTATTGTCCTTAGAAAAATGGAGTTATTACCAAAACGAAGTAAAACAAATTCTCCTGCATGTTACAAAATTCCCTTCAGCTTAACTCGAGTACTTCATTTTCCGTTCAACAACACAGAACTGCTAGATTCTCTTAAACTCAGTCACCTGATTTCTAAAGTACACTCAAAACTCCAAAAAGGAAAGTTGTAACCATCTCCTATAATTTTAAGAGATTATCATGGAGGATTTTTTGGCTGTTCATGGGATATAAAATCCTAGTGCAATTAACCTTCATCAAAATAGTTTACATTCAGATTTCTTTTAGAAAAGACTGCCAGCCAAATATGTAATAATTCAAAGACAAGGTTCATTCCCTTTATGCATGTGATGGCCTTTAAGGCCAGTAAAGCAGCTCCTGGATTAATCAACTCGTTAGTTGACATAAATGTGTTTGCAATTCTATTGTGTTTCCAGAAATTAAAATTTCTAGAGTAAAGCATATTTCTATTGATATGACTCTCTGTATGTAGTTACAATGCAGCTACTGGGAACTAACTATTCCCTACTTACTGTTTCTAGCTCCACAGCCACAAGCTATTAGTGACAGCTGCAGTTAAGCCACAAATTCAGTAACCGAAGTTAAAGCTATGGCATTTAAATCCAGCTGGCACAATCAAAGTGATTATTGAACATGTCTTTCAGAAGAGAAACAAAGCACAGTAAAAACTAGATATAAATATACACTACATTCTGTAAAACCTGTATCCACAGATAAAAGACTTTGGGGAAAAAAAAGTATAAGGTTGAATTCCCTCTGAGAAAATAAATGTCAAATGTCCAAGTGCCAATGGTGTGACTTCCAAATGGAGAAAATAACATGATTTGTGGACTGAGCACTGAATTATACAACCATGCTTTGAGAAATGCAAGGCTTAACATTTTATGAAATGTTCAGATGCAAGCAACAGGTGCTTTCCACCTAGGTAAGATCCAAAAGTTCTGATCATAACCTTCACTGGCTGGAAAGCTCAATCTTCGAAGCTTTGGCTAAACACTGAGAATTCCAGCGTGTCTGAAACCTCATTCTTAACATTCTAAGTTACAGAAGCTCAATGCCTATTGCTTTGTTTGATCTACTCATTCCTTAAACTAAAACCACTATTTACCAAAAAAAATTTACTGAGGAGAGAGAATATAAATCCATAATGTCTTTGATGCCATTTGTCTGTGTTGGCAGTAAGGGAGGTGTAATACATTAGCTGCTTTCTAAATCCATCGGCATCCCTGACTAAACAAGTCTAACACATTTATGGCCTCATCTGTAGTCTCAATTGAAATAAAAGAGAACCTTTCCATTGAAGCAAAATAATTTCTCTGATGCCTATTAATTCACTTCTCACAAGAAAACAGTTTGTCTATGGACACTATTCTGAAAGAGGAGAAAGCCATTTGGCCTATTTTATGGACATTTCCAAGACTCTGCCTAATTAAAAATCCCCCACGTTCACTGAATTCAGCATCCTTTCACATTCCCAGGAGAGCAGTTTGAAAAGGTTCACTAAGATGATCATACCCATTAATCAGCCTATTTTGCAAACTCCACTGAAGTGCCAGAATACCAACTAAAGCATGTAGCAATGCTGCATCACTCTCACCTATGTGGTGATCAAAGTTCAAGCAGCAATATTTTATTTTTTTTTTCAATACCCCAGACTGAGGATAAAAAAGGAAAGTTTTGGTCATGGAGACAAATTCTTTCCCACATAAATGGGATCCTCAAGTGCACACAAACTGTATTTTGAGAGCTTACAGAAAGGCCATTCTTTTAAATGCACCTTTAACTGTCCCTGATTTCTCTTTGTGAACCTAACTAATTATGCTGATTTTTTTCCAAGTCAAATCTTACTAATGACTTCTGGGATTTATTTATAAATACTGCTTCCTAACCAATTACACTTCTGTAAATACAGAGTAACTTCATTGATTGCAGTGATCTAATTTGGGATTGACTCATTTAACAAAGGAAAATTAATGAATCAAGTTAGGAAAGGGCTACCATTTAAAAAGTTTTCCTCTCTCTTCAGAGAGCAGAGCTGTAGTCAGAAGAGGAGAAACACGCATGCCAAAGTTTTACACAATTTTGAGCAGATGATAACTCAGTCTGTTTTCCTCAGTCCTTGACCCCCCCATGTTTCTTTTCAGATTAAAATTAGATGATGGGAATGAAAAACAGCACCTCACTTACTCTGAGAAAGACTTACAACTGCCATATATAAACATGAAATAAGACCAGAAATTAGTAGAAAATAGAACAGGATATTTTTAAAAGTTGAAGCAAATTATAATAGGGAAATGTTGTAGTACCTGTGCTTGGCTACCCAATGAAACCAATTACACAAAAAGAGTGAAGTAGCTTTAACTACAACCTTACTGAGACGTGATTTTCTTATACAATCTCCATACAAAAGTTGTGATCTGTGTCATGACTTTGGAGTATTTTGATTTTGTTTTGGAAGAAGTATTTACTTCATTCACATTTCCAGTAACTATCTCTTGAGACCTTGAAGAGCCTTTTATCTATCATATATTTTGGGCATCAAGAAAAATCAATGCTTAAACTTGTGAGAGGTGAGCAGAAATAGCTTTCTGAAAGCAGATCTCTCTCCTTCAGCATGAAGATACAATTTCTAGTTTGATGCTACATTGATTGTGAGCAAAAATGTCTTTCACAGTAGTTGTGCAAGGTACAGCAATATCTTTGTGTACTTTGGATGGGTAATATACGGCCAGGAAGTCTCAAGATTAATTAATGTAGAAACTAGCAAATTACTACTTGTGTGTATATACAGACTCATTTTAGAGCTGCAAGGATGGGATTATTCTGAGAATAACTCTGTTCCTACTTTCTTGGACTTAATTAAAGCATCAAAATGGCACTAATGCAGGTAAAAATAAGATCCAGTTACAGCTATTGTTCCACATAACTTTTTTTTTCCAGATTGGAACACTTCTTATATATGAATATCTACAGCAGAAACAACGTCAACTGCAATCATGACAATACTGAATAACATCAATAAACAGGAATAATAATTACTGAATAATAGTATTTCATAGGCATTTCAAATACCTGTTTCCACGCAATTGCATAATGAAGGATTGTTGTGGGAAAAGGTTACACTGAAGTTATGAGGAGATACTTCTCTGCCTTTAGTTCCTATCTACTGTTAGTCTAAAAGGTGAGAAAGTATCAGGAAATTTGACAGCATCTATTGCTTTAGTCACATTTAGTGTCCTCTTTCAAAAAAACTGGCAGTTTGAGGTGTCCTTTCCACACTCAAATACTGCAGGTCTAACTGAAGAATCATTATTTTTTTATTATTTGTGTTCAAACATAAACTTACCTAAAAATGGATCAGTGTATTCTGTACTAGACAGCTTAAGCAAGTTGTTTTCCAAAGTTTCCACCACTTTAGCTGGAATAAAGACAATATTCATATCAGCACTCACATGTATTTTGAAAGTAAAAGATAAACTTTTTAAAGCTGTCAGTGACTCAAATGAAAAAGTTAATGATGAAGAGCACATTCCATTGGTGAAAAAAAAAGAGCAAGAACACTTTAGTGAAGACTTTCACTCTATTTCTGAGAGAAGTTTGACTTGGTGAAATAATGTACTAAAGTAAAACTAGTGCCTATCAACATCAAGGAAGGATTTAATTAAATTCAGTAGCAGAAGCCAGAAAAGTTAATTTATTATAGAAAAGTTCATGCACAGTTGGCAATAGCTGGCAACAGGTGACACATACACTGACTAGGATCTCTGTTAAGGTATTTTTATCTGTTAAAATAGAAAACCTAAAAGTAATTACTGTTTCTAACACAAGCCAAAATTCATAGGGATTTTCTCCCTTTTTTCTTATTCTCTCCATATAACTTTTCCCTGATCCTGCTATTCATAATTGAATGCATCTGCTCCTCCATGTTCATGACATTTCTTGCCAAAGCCCTAATATTTACTTTTTCTCTCTCCTTGAATGGACTACAGAAAGATTTCATGCTCTTCTCCAGCATACAGGAGGACTTTCTTGTTTTGTTTTTAGTGAGAAGGAAATAATCTTGTAATTCAGAATAATAATAATAATTTAAAAAAATCAGTCTAAGCCTCACTTCAAACATTATAGGTATTAATTCAAGAACTTGGTACCTTAGTTCTCCCAGATGTTTTTGTGCAAAAACATCTCTCCAACAGTTTGTAGATCTCTAAACAAATCAAAGCTTATCAGATGTCTCTATAATTAAATGAAAAATGCTAAACATTTATATCTAAGGCACCACAGGACTTCAAATGATGTTCCTGTCCATTTCCAGTGTTGGAACAAGGTCCTGAAAGAGAAAAACCTCTTACCTCTTTCTGACACGACATCCACTGTAGCTGTAGATGTCCCTGCACTGAGGGGCTGTGGCTGCACACAATTTGGCTGCAGAAATGAGGAATGCTTGCTCAGACTCTGAGGATGTGTTTGGCTCTGGGCTAGGCATGGCATAGATCTTCTGGAGGGTTTCAATGGGTGCTCTTTCACTGTCTCACTCTTGCTTGTGTTCATACCTGAAAAAGCCAAAAGAAAATGAACATAAGCTCTGTGATATTAGGCAATGACAAAGAGAGGTGGCTAATTATGAAAACTCAAGATGATTTGTCCACATGCATCATAAGCAACTTTCCAACTAAACAAAAATGTTTAAAATATTTAAAGTTCAAAGAAGAATACAGAGTTTGGAACAGAGTCCAGGAATTCTTCACCTGCCCTCCATCAACATCTCACAATTCCAATTTGCAATATTCTAAATTTCATGATTCTGTAGTCCATATGCCATAATGCCACACAAAAGCAAACAGCAGCATCTAGTGCTAATCACATTATGATGGCTAAATAAAATCTTTATACAATGGTAGAAATGAATAAAATCCCTCAAAACAAGCAAGCAAACAAGCAAAATATGAATACAAGCATAAGACATTCATGAACTCCTTTGAAGTGCAGATCTGTGTAAGTTTTGATGAATCTATTAGATGTTTCTAGTTTTTCTTCTGGGACCCATGAACAATCTTAGGTTTTCATACGGACTGACTGGGTTTAGGTTCAGGTGCCTACATATGGACAGGATACACCAGTCAACTTTGCAGTATGAATAAGAACATTGGAACAATCAGATTGCTGGTTTAAATGAACAGTGTAATTTGGGGGTCACTGCTTTCAGCATGTCCTTCAAAAAATGACACAAAACTCACCCCCTGCTCTGAATTTATCCCACATTAGCATTACAGCTCCACATTTCCAAAGTGCACCTTCCAAAGAATCAATTTTCTGCATCTTTTACTTGGAAGGCTCTTTGCCAGGGTACCCAGAGTTCACCCCTGTCCAGTGTTGCTGTGTGCACCTCAAACCATGGTCGTAGTACAGAACTGTTTGTCAATGCACAGCAAAATGCATTGCAGTTAGATTTGCTGACATTATTATTTTTTATCAATTAGGATTTAGAAAATGCAACAATGTGCCATGAGAATATTATTCTCTCCTTTTTATCCCCAGCACTATCAGAGTGTTCTCATTACTATTACTTTAATTAGACTAAGCCACAAAAATGAAGGCCTGAAACAATTTAATGGCACTTAAATACACACAAGCACTGAATAATAGGTATTTCATAAAAGAACCCAAGTATAAATGAGACTCCCACATAAACCTGAAGACAGTCATGAATATTGAAAATGTTAGTGTTAAATGAACAAAACACCACCACAGTTTTGTTACTATTCTACTATCCATCATTGCTGGGTGTATCAACAGCCAAATGGTACAATGGCTTCAAATGCAGATGAGAGTCATTCTAGCTTTCATTTCTCCCTATGTGAATCAAGTTTCTTCCTTGGAATATACCTTATTCATTCCTTCGCACATACAAACACAATTATTTTGAGTATTTTCACTGTTCTCACACAGGTCTTTTAATGCAAAAACATAACAAGGCCATCAGCCACACAGTCAGCTACTGTCAGTCCCCAGTTCCTATTGACAAATTTAATACATCTCAGCTTGGTCACAAATAACTACACATTTTAATAAGACCAAAATTAAAACCAGAAGTCAGATTTCTGAGAAAAAAAAGATTACTTTATTTCTCTGTTTAGCTGTTGCTGACTCTGTTAACTACTTCTTACTACACTGACACAGAACACGACTTTGCTATTAATATATTGAAAAGGAACCAAAGAACCGTAAAACTGGCTATATGATTTTTTCTTCACCAAAATTAAAAACTGTAAGTGTGAAAACTTACTTAGCAGTTACAATATTGAATCTATTTTACAGCATTCTTGCTAAAGAGTACTATGAGATTTTAAACAATTAAGCCAGTTGATGTGCTACAATGACTAACAATAATTCCATTTTCTAAGTACTATGAATTTTTTCAGCCCATTTTTGTTGGTATGAACTGGCTGTCTCTGCTTTGAGTGTGATAATTATTTACAATTAAAAAATATGCAGTGACCCTTTCAAAATGATACTTCACAAGTATTCAATCCATTTAGCTCCCATTATAAACTTCCATTTTTCCCATATTTCTTCCCAAAATCTCAGAAATTTGTAAGACAACTGCTGTCATTATCCATTTACATGATCATTATTCCTACTTTTGCATTTACACTAAGATACATTGCTACATGTTCAGGTTTGACAGACAGTAATTATTTAATCATGATTCAAGGTGACAATATGAATTCACAACTGTGACTCTGCAATAAATATGCCTCATTGTATTCTGGTATTTGGCACAAAGGATGGCTTACCTGAAAACTTAAATCTATCTCTGAAAGACACTTGTACACTCTAAGGTAAGAACTTACTTATTTTTCTTTTAAGAAAGGGTAAAATACAGATGCTAAGGGCATTCCATTCTGTAAAATATTTATACTTTCCTTTCAAAGCTACAAAATTAATTTCCCCTTCACCATTATGGAATTATATTAATGCTCTTAATCTTTTTGCCAATGTGTAACCTTCGTGAAAGACACTATGGAAACACATGGTGGCAAAATAACCCACATGTCAAAGTCAGTTACAACAAAACAGCTGGGACAATGATTTGGAAAAAAACAACAAAGCTTCATAGTTGTTTCTGAGATACAAGGAAATTAAGCAGCTTTCCTAAGTTTACATGGAAGAGATACTATTATACACAGCCTGACCCAACCTAGGGCCTTGATGCACATCATCCTTGTAAAAATTGCAGAATTCAACACTAAGCAAAAGGCAAGTCCCCAAAAGAGCTGATACCCTGTATTTGGGTCCCTCATTGGCATGGTTTGTTTCTTCTGCTTTTGCTTACAGACACCTCAGGAACCGGCTGGAGCATGGGGACATCTCAAGTGCTGGGTAAGTGATGGAACATGCCTGAAAGCTGAGGAGCAAGAGACCCCCATCCCATCAGGGGACATGCAGTTTCTTTGGACTAGGAATCATGGTGTAAAGCATGCAGCAAGCAACCAGGTCACAGGAAGAGCAGAAGGAACTTACGAAGGACAAGAGGCACCTGTGCCAGTTGGTCTTTGCCACTGAGCAACTGATTGTTGCAACCTAAAAATAATTTCTTTTCAAAAGCAAATATATTAGCACATGTTTGCCAGTGTCTTTCATACTGCTTCAGTAATTCATCATCTAGTTGCATGATTCATAAGAATTCTTAATTTTTTATGAAGCTTTAAACTTTTTACAAGATTAGAAACACTTTTTCAAAGACAAATGGATTGCACCTTGGGGTGGGTTGAGCATGGCCAGCAGCTAAGCACCACACAGCTGCTTGCTGACCCTCTCACAGCAGGATGGGGAGAGAGAATGGGAAGAGCAAAGAATGAGAAAAATGTCGTCTGAGGTAAAGACAGTTTAGTAAGTGAAAGAAATAAGGAAGAAAAAAGAAAACAAAACAATAACGCAATGACAACCACTCACAACCTCCCACAAGCAGATGGATGCCCAGCCATTTTCCCAGCCTTGACTACCTCCTCATCTCTCAGACTGTATTGCCAAGTGTAGTGCTCTATGGCATGGGATATCCCTCTGGTCAGCTGGGGTCAGCTGTCCTGGCCATGTCCCCTCCCAGCTTCTCGCCTACCCCTGTTCTGCTCACTGCAGAGCAGGAAAACAAATGATGCTGTGCAAGCCCCGCTCAGGAATCACCAAAATACTGGGGTGTTTTCAACAGTCAGTTGGTTGCAGATGCAAACACAGCACCTTAAGGTCTGCTATGAAAAAAACTAACTCCATCCCAGGCAGACCCAATAATGCTACTCTCTCGTTAAAATCCCTCAAGTTGTTCCACCAAGAACAATACAACGTGACCTCTGAGAGACTGCTGCCTTGCCTGTCAAGGTGAGCTATATGGAAACACAGCACAGAAGTAAAAATACAATCCCCAAAATATCTGGGAAATCTTTATGAACAAGGATATTCACATAAAATAAGATTACAAATATAAATTAATAATCACCTCTACAAAAATATAAGGCAGAGTTAAAAAAAAAAAAAAACAACACCAAAATATCTATGGTTTCAATGCCATGGAAAATTAAATACATAGGGTTTGCTATGAAGAATGCTAAAGCCTCCTGTCTATACAGGATCAGCAGATCTTTTGTGACTGCTGTACACAGTGTCAAAGATCCTCAGAAGATTAGTGTAGCGTCTGATTCACTGCACTATTTCTCTGCTTGACAGCACAATTTACTCTGCAGCATGTTCCTACAGATCTTAATCTCTTAGTGATATATATTACCTCTCTCTGAATATGCTAGAAAGAAACCAGTAATCTAAACATTTCTGCTGCCTGCAGTGCCATGAACTTCCAAGGAAATTTCCCCATCAAAACCTGTGCCACTTGAAGAAGAATGTCACACTCTGCAAGTTTCACTCTTAGCTAAACCTTAACGTATGAGTCCATAAAGACATTCCTTTCATTAGCAGGATACTCTCCGTATTAATAGCTAAGGTTTAAATGGGTCTTTCATTAAATAACTTCCCTGAGATTTCCTTCAATATAAGTGTTCCTTTACCAAGAAAGGCAGAACTTCTTTAGTCCACCTGGGACTGTTCTCCCAGATCTGCAGCACAGCATCACTGTACTTGGTCAGACAGATCAGGTGTTAATTTAACAGGAGGGTAAGACAGATGGAGGCAAGATTCTGCTGCCTCTGAAGGTGCCATAGTCTTCAAACAGGAACAACCAGAAAGGACTCTGCTACACAATGGTTCTGGAATGGACATTGTGCCAGCTGAGTAGGCAGTGGCACCTGGCTATAGCCCTGAAGCTCAATCAGAGCAGAGCAATGCCACACACACTGCCTGCTCTGCTACTTGCAAGATTTCCGAGAAGTGTTCTTTGTACCTCTTCCTAGTGGATGTATTTATTAGACCAAAATATTTAATACTTGGATACAGAAAAAGGACTAATATATAAAAGGGTGTACTTCTTAATTGTTCTGGATGGGTTGAATGATCAATTTCTTAAGCAGTGATGCTGTCAGTAATTATGGACCTGTCGCGATCTG